ACAGATTTGTATTACAAATCAAAATAGGAAACCGTCTGTTTTTATAGTAACTATCGTGAGACATTCTAAATTAACTAAAATCGCAGGTGAGCTGCGCGTCATCGCCGCGACCGCGCACGCTGCTCACGAGGAAGAACCCCTCTGTGGTTCGAAACTAGTAGAGCTTTTCTTAGTATATTCACGTGAGTAACCCGCGAATTTAGTTAATTTAGGAAACCATCTGTTAATTTTCTCCATATCATCAGCATAAGAAATATAAGTAAAAGAAACTTAGTCCTGAACAATACGCTGTACACCAGACTTTCCTCTTTTAAGTTTCAAAGTTGTACATGCGTCGTAAGATGTTGCTCTTATTAGGTACGTGGTTTAGAGCACCTAACTAAATGGAGGTTGGAAGAAGTTCAGTCTGTTTTTATAATGTGTATAGTTTGCAAAGTAACTTTATAACTTAAGTAGAATGGAAATAATGTGCTTAGGTAGAACTTAGACTGTTTACTGTTTAAACTCGGTATTGAGCTTTTTTATGCAGATGGTGATAAGAACCGTCAATATGGCGCATATTGACGGTACATACAACCCGCAACATCCACAATAGTTACAAGTGCGATATCGGCTTCTAAAAAGACATGTCTTTCCTTTGTTTGGAGATTTCCATTTACCTGAATTAAAACTTAAAATACCTGTTAAATCTTCCTTAAAATAAGGGGCCGACACTGGGTGTTTAAATAAATGTGGAAATGTTCTGCCTAAGAATGCTTTTAGACATACAATTTTTTTCTTTTTTTATAAACTATCCTAAAATCAAAGCGAACAGAAATGACGATAAAACTGTACCTTATAAACAGCTACTCCAGATAAGAATATGCAGATGATGTTGACTAAGGTCAGGCATAGTGACGCGGTGCCCAGTATAGCTAACTCCGAGGGTTGTACCACCAGCCAGCGCAGCTCCTCCGTCGTCACCAACAGACGAGTTAGCGCCATCGCCCAGAGAAGACCCTGGAATTTATGGTGCTCTATTTAAAAACTAGTTTTGCTTATTGAAACATCAGTTTTTATAATAAAAATCTTTAATATTTTGGAATTAGTTAGTTTAGGCTTTAAAAATGAGACATATCGTGGTAAAAAACTGCTTCGTGTCCAACTCTAAATCTATAAACCCTAATGTTGTACATAAGTTGTTAGCCGTACTACAGGCGTAACTCGTAGCTCGTAGCGCGTAGTTCGTAGTGCGTAGACCGGAGCTCGTAGTTCGTAGCGCTTAGTTTGTAAAGCGTAGCAGCGATTTTACGCTATCAATAATTAACCATGCATTTTGACGAAGATGTAGATTTTGTAAACTCTTTCCATGCGACTGACTTGCCAGTTCAGTCCACGTTAAACGTGCTACGAGGTACGGTTGTAGTATTGCGCTGCCATTTAAATGTAAAAAGGGCATAAAGATTTAGGGCTGAGCATGTAGGCTTAAAAACTTGTTTTGTCACGAGATGTGTTTACTTTTCGACAGTTGAAGCTATATGCAACATTTTACATGAAAATGTTTTTGTAAGATATTAATTTTGCAAAAAATATTTCCGCATAGTTATGCAGTGCGTTTAAAATTGGATTTACATTCGATTCGCCTATTTAATCTACCACCATGATACATTATAAGCCGTACAAATTGTTGGACAGAACAATTGGAAGCGATTATGATGACCCATGACCATTCATACATACCATCATCCATTGCCGTAATAGTCGTCATAATCGTAGTATTAATGTAATGCTATATTATGTTTACTGCTAATGTTCAGTTTAATGGTGGGCGATATACTATTCTATTGTACTATAAGGCAAAGGTGCACGTACCTAAATTATATTTGACCAGCTGGACAGGCAAACTGCGTACACCCTCAAAAAATTTTTAATCCTTTATAAAGTAACGAACAACAATTCATAGATTGTGTAGTACCTAATTTTACATTGACTTTTTCAGGTGCGATGTAACAATGTCAATGTTGTCGCGGAGAACCTAACGGGTTACCGGGGCTCCGGCTCGACGTGCAGGAGAAGGAACGGGGTGGTTTTTAGTCAGTAAGAGTCTGACACTCCCTCCCGCCTAACCCAGGCGGGAGCAGTGATTCGATGATTTTACCCCTTAAAAAAAAAAGTGCCTATTATGTTAAGTCAGAGAATGGAATTTTTAAATAAGCCCGACCTTTCATAGATTGATGACATCACACATACAAATGGGAGTCACATTTATTAAATGCACTTCTGCTTAGTCTTAGGAACGTGAAAGACGAATAAACAAAGCCGTGTGACGTCCGTCCTTTATTTTCTGAATGACGTAAGTAATTAGATATTCTACAAAACAATACTTTCACCTCCCTTGTCTTTATCAGAACTTTGAAAGTAGGTTTAACGCAAACTTTTGCTGGTTATTTCGGTACCTACGTCAACACCTAAAAATACGTTATTCCAAATGAAGCAAGACTCCATTTTAGCATCACCTTTATTCTATTTATTATGACGAACGTCAATGAAGTATTTATTTTTAGAGTTTCTCCCAAATAATGCAATCTATTTTGGTGCCATTATTATTTCGTTTAGTACATATGCAGGTATATTGGCATTTATTTTTTGTCAGAGTTGATTTTTTATAAACTTTTCTCTCTTTAACACTGTGATGGTAAAATTATAAAAACTATTTTAATAAAAGGTAAACCATTTTAGAGCTTTAAAAATAAGTTGCCGTTTCATTCCGTAATATTACGTAAAACTTACAATAAGTATTGTTATTTATATTTACGTATTAAAGAATGTTGAATACTCACAGCATTAACAGCTGGTGGTAGTAAAGAAGCAGAGATGGCGACTCCGACGAGAGAAGATGTATACTCTCCCAGCACGGCCAGCGCCACTGCAGCACCACTGGGTATTGCCACCAGCACACCCACCCATAGAGAACGATACTCACACCTGGAAATCGAAGAAATAGACTAATAAAAATATATTGTTTTAGTAATTTGAAAACAGCGCTAGTAACTAGCTCTATACGTCATATCTACATGGATACTACCATCAGGCCAGGCTTTTGATTGTCTTTAGTTTTCATCCTGATCGGTTTAACATCTCATTATATCTGTTCGAATTACCAGTATATCGAAATGACTTCAATTGTAGACGCTGCGCATAAAGGTTGTGTTTCAAAGCGATATAGGTAGATGCAAATAAAGTATATTTGGCATCCCTCTGACCTTATCTGTATCTAGGACGTTTATAGGTCAGAGGTCCTGTGGAGCAATGAAAACACAAAAACGGAAAAACTCAGTCTTATTTCTTGTCAAAAGCTTTTGCAACTCGGCCATCTTGCTAAAATGTGTTTGTTAAATGATGACGACTGATTACAGAGTAATAATTAGTTGATAACTGTAATTCTCACTTATAAATCACTTCAACATTCAACAATCGAGTGCAGTAGGAACTATCGAATCGAATGAACCCTCATTACTAAACTAATGAACTGTTAAGATGAGATGCAAATTCCTAGTTATTTTTAATTAAAACACAAAGCAAATAGGCTCTTATTTCATAACAGATATCTTATGAAGATTGCACGGCTATAAGGAAATCAATACGTTATTAAGTTTGCATTGTTCTGACTGACTAGACAGTGTGATTGATGGTGGGTTGTATCGTTTATCATGTAGTGACAATATCGTCATGTAGGGACTGATGCGATTGTGATGTTCCAAAGGTGAATAGCCGACCTGCGTCCTGTTTTCTAGAACATTGTAGTCGGTTGTGTAGTTTGTCTATTTTATTTCATTAAAGGATAAGTCATTTTAATACGTGTTTGTTTTATAGATCTTTATATAATTATTTCTTGATATGAGATTATTATTTAAATACTAATGTTAATCTTACTAATCCTAAAGTTTAGGAATTTGTGTGTACTTTGTTAGCCAAACACGTCTAAACGGCTGAAGGGATCGTGTTAATTTTTGGAACAGGGATAGATTATAATTTGGAATACTATTTAGTTGATACTCTGGCGCCATCCCATCTTCCAAACTAAGCGTGTCGAGCCGGTGCTGCCGTTGCTGCTGCCGAGAACCTCAAGCGGCGAAAGTATAATAGCCTAATTGGCAATTATACTTTCGAACCGTTTGGGGTTGAAACTTTAGGGCCGGGGGGCCCAAGTGCACATCTTCTTTACAAAGCTATTGTAAGGAGGATGGTTGACACTTCAGGTGATCGAAGGGCTGGCTACTACCTTGAGCAAAGGTTAAGCATTGCCATTCAACGTGGCAATGCTGCCAGTCTTTTTGGGCACCCTACCTCATGGTAGCGATGAGTAAAATGTTTTCTTTGATGCCTTATGATATATATATTTTTAAGGTGTAAATAGTTTAGGTGTATTAGTTTTACATTATTTATATTCTCATAATATGTATAAATGTAATGGCGTGGTAATATATAATAAATAAATGAAAAGTAAATTTGGAATAACACATAGGCTACTTTTACTCCACGGGAACGCGAGCGAAACCGTGGGCAGAAGCTAGTTTGACATAAAGGCAGGAAGAAGTAGGAGCGTAAAAAATATTACGAAATATTAGGTAGGTATTTATATGTATACAAAATGCCTACCGTAACTTGCATGCTTCGTAGTGTTATTATGTTGCATAACATTTTTGTAATAAGTATAAAATGTTAAGTAACAATAACACTATTTATTATAATTTACTGTCCTATTATTGTGTTTACAATTACCTAAGTAGTACATACCTACTTATTTACATATCTCAGTTCGGTATTCTGGTCTGAGAAACAAATAAAAATATGAAGTCTTGTTGGTGAAGTAGGTACTCATAAGTGAAAATCTCGAGTAATTCAATAGGGTAGCAGGGCCGCGCCGCCCCTGTGTGCGAAGTGTGCGGCGCACACAGGCGCCAAGACGATAGGGGCGCCGCGCCGCGCCGCCAGGCGCGGCGCGGCGCCTGAATGAATGAATGAAAAAATTATTTTTGTTACCTATATTATTGTGTTTTTGTAGTAAAGTATCAATAATTAAGTAGGTACAATAGGCGCAACATAGGCCTTGTATACAATAAAACTAATATTACGCTTATTAAAGTCTCTCGATTATGTTTATTATTGTTCACGTTTATGGTTTCATTTTACGCTTAGGGTTTAAAGTTTACTTATATTACTTATGAGTTACGAGCTCAACGTTAAAACGGCGGCAGTTCTTTTGAACCATAGAGTCGCCGAGTTTGAGTAGGTATGAGCGAGTTTATGAACGCAACCCGTCGCCATGCGTGCGAGGGAAGCGGGGTAGGATCACAGGGATTCCCCGACGAACGAGAGTGTCAAACCAAAACAAAACAATTGAACAATCATTTGATTGAAAGTGTGTGTAAGGTGCGCATTGATTTTTTATAATATAAAGTTGGTGTGTTACTGATTGTTTTAAAGTGTTTTCACGATGAGTGACAGTAATAATGATAAGAAAAAAAAGTTATCTGGTTACCAGAATCTAATAAGGAAAAGAAAACAAGAAGAAGAACGTAATAAAAATGCAACTAAAATCAGTAAATATTTTACGGCCCTACCATCCACTTCGACACAATCATTAGAGACAGAAACCAGTCATGTTATCGATGAAAGTGTTATTAAATCTGATTCAAAAAACGCTTCCTGTGGTGGTACGTAATTTTTATGAAATTTTCTATACAAATAAATATAAATTCTGTTTGCGATATTAAAAAAAAATATTTGTTATTCAATTTTGAATAGATAAATTAACTTATTTTTCCGGCCGTTTTAGATATTAGACGTAAGGAACACACATACCTACCTACAAAAAGGTTATTTTGTTTTATGTAGGTACCGTATTTTATGTATTTTTAATAAAATGCGTCCAACCATAAACATTTACAAAAAGCGGTTATTTTAATATTGCAAACAGACACTCTAATTTGTATAAATGTAAATAATTATTCATAAATAGATAAAATCAGTTTATTAAGTTAAGGAGATAGATAGGTACTCATGTGAACGATATTAAACGTATTTGTTTATCTGTTTTTAATTTAAGATGATGCCGCCGAACTTACGTCTGTACCTGATACACTATCTACACCGTCAAGACAATTATCGTCACCAATCCCAACTTTTTCCAAAGATGACCCTGGAGCCTGGCCAGAAGTTTTAAATGCTACTTTAATCGAGTATTTAATAGAAAATCCGATTAAACAAATAAAACAGTACAATTTTCCGCGTGACTCTTCGGGACGAAAATTTTCTGAGTATTATTATGAAAGGCATTTAGGAAACGGTGAAAAGTATCACAGAGAGTGGCTGCTGTATTCGGTGTCCAAAAATGCCGTTTACTGCTTCTGTTGCAAGCTATTTGAATCAAAATATAAAAATAAATTCTGCGAGGGAATTAGTGATTGGCAACATCTAGCTTTGTATTGCAGCAGACATGAGAAAAGTTCTGCTCATTTCAATAATTATAAAAAATGGACAGATTTGTGTCATGCTCTTAAAAATAAAAACACTATTGATAGTATTCAACAAAAGCTTTTAGAGGTTGAAAAGCAGCGCTGGTACGATGTAATAAAAAGAATAATATATGTAGTCCAATTTTTAAGTACACAAAATATGGCTTTTCGTGGCCAAAGCCAAAAATTATATGATAGGAACAATGGTAATTTTTTAAAATGTATTGAAATGTTAGGAAAATTTGATCTCTCAATGACTGAACACATACGACGCGTAATGAATGATACGGATTTTAAAAATATGCCGACTTATCTTGGAGATAAAATTCAAAATGAAATCATTCACATTCTCGGTAAACAAATTCAAGATTTTATTTTAAATTTATTTCAAATTAATAAATATTTTGCAATTATACTGGATTGTACTCCTGACGTTTCACACGTAGAACAAATTAGTATTATAATAAGATTTGTCAATTTTAATACAGAAAGTAGAAAGTTGGAAATAAGAGAACATTTTCTAGCTTTCTGTCCAATTGTTGATACAACTGGTGCTGGGTTAACGTCATTTATTATTGAAAAATTAAACAACATTAATTTGAATATAAATAATTTAAGGGGCCAGGGTTACGACAATGGATCAAATATGCGCGGTAAGAATAATGGTCTTCAGAAAAGATTGCTGGATTTAAATCCCCGCGCTTTCTATGTACCGTGTGCTAGTCATAGTTTAAATTTAATAGTAAACGACTCTGCCAACCTCAATCATCATACGACTGGATTTTTTTGTATTGTGCAAGAATTATATAAATATTTTTCATCCTCTGCTAAAAGATGGGATTTATTAAAAAAATATGTCATAAATCTGACCTTAAAACCATTATCTGAAACAAGATGGTCAAGCAGAATAGATGCTATAAAACCGCTTTTTACAAATTTACCAGAAATTTATGATGCCCTATATGAAATAACAAATAATTTATCATATGATCCGAAGGCAAAGTATGACGCTAAATGTCTAGCAGAAAAAATATGCACATTTTCATTTATTTGTTCACTAAATGTATGGCATATAATATTGACAAAAGTAAATTTTGTGAGTAAAATTCTGCAGTCCGTCGATATGAATTTGCAAGTTGCTTTAGACGCTTTAACAGATTTAAAAAAAATTTTAATAAAAATTAGAACAGACACAAATTTTGAAGAAATTGTAAGTGATGCCAAAAAAATTGCCGAAAAATTAGACGTCGAGACTGAATTTGAAACTTCCAGATCCAGACCCCTAAGATGTCGTAAAACTCCAAAGAATTTCGATTATGAACACGAAGACCACACTATAAATGATCCGAAAACCTCTTTTAAAATTAATGTATTTTTTTATATATTAGACCAAGCTTTATCCTCCGTAAATGAAAGGTTTAATTTATTGAACAATCACAACGACGTGTTTAATTTTTTATTTAATTTAAGTGACGACCAAGATCAAACACGATTAAGAAGTAACTGTCATCTTTTACAGGAGAAACTTTCAGCAAATGATTCATTGGATATTAACGCCGATGATTTGTTTGAAGAAATAATGTCATGTCAGCCATTTTTCAAAAAATTAAATAATAATGTTGTGAAAATTCTTGAATTTATATATTTAAACAATTTGACAGCTGTATGCCCTAACATTACTATAGCATTACGAATTATGCTAACTATGCCAGTTACAGTAGCAAGCGCGGAAAGGTCCTTTTCTAAGTTAAAACTTATAAAAAATTATCTGCGCTCCACAATGAGTCAGGAAAGACTAACAAATTTAGCAACAATATCCATAGAGGAGGCCATACTAGACCATATAGACATACATGAAATTATCAAGGATTTCGCAAACAAAAAAGCGAGAAAAGTGGAAATATTATAATTTAAGTAGGAATATTTACATTCTTGCAAATGTTAAATTCTTGTTATTTTTTTAAACATAACATAAGTACGTAATAGTCATATATTAGTATTATTAGAAAAAAGTCAACTTTGTTATTAATATTTAAATATCTTTGTACCTATTAAAAAAGTATGTAAAAAATTATATCGAGTTTAATTTTTCGCAATAATTGACAATCAGAAGCGGACGGGACTTTCCTATTTAGTATCCTGACTCCTAAATGTATTCTAGTTTTGTACACTAAGAATGATTATCTAAGTACTGTAAAACTGAAGAACATTTATTTCAGTCAAAATTAGCAATTAAAAATATTCGTTAAAAATTTAAATTGTTTTTTATGAAGTGTCGTAAAAAAGAGGCGCTTCTTAGGTTCCGCACACAGGCGCTGCCGGGGGTCGGCGCGGCCCTGTAGGGTAGTATCCTACATTTTATTTTAATGTCCGTCTGGTATTTAAAAATGAACTATTTTAAAACATTAGACACGTATTTTTTCGTTTCTTACAAAATTAAATACCTACTTTCGACAATATATTGATTTGAAATATCATGTGACGTCACAATTTACTATATTTTATAGGGTAGCGTGACGTAACAACCTCTCATTCCTAAACTTAACTCCGTTTTACCTAAATATTGTTTTTTATACGATAAAATAAAAAAATACGTGTCTAATATTTTCTCATTACCTGACTGACCGACTAATTACATTTTTAATTTTCATACCCTGTCTACTACCCTATAGGTACTGACTACATAAAACATTGAACATAGCTGAGGGTAGATCGATTTGGGTGTCATTGAGGGAGGTTTCGTTCAGCAGTGGACTTTTTATCTATACTAATATTATAAAGAGGTAAAATTAGTTTGTAAGTTGGCATGTAGGGGGTAATCTCCTGAAGTCATGGACCAATTTTAATGACTAATATAGGTAATGATGTGAACATACCTTGAGATCATTTCATAAGTAGGCCAGTCCTCCACGACTCCATATCGTTCATCGATGGCGCAGATGGTCAGCCCGAATAGGAATCCCATGACGAGAGACAGGAATAGACCGAGGAACTCATTCTTGACTCCCATGAGCTGCAGGGAACGGTCTTTGACGGCTGTGCCTAGAGTACCCGCTGTTATGGGACCCTGAGAGGGAACGTTGAAAATGTAGTAATTTTTTCGTTGTCAGAAGTTAAAGATATGTGTAAAGTTGTAGACGTAGAAATAGATTAAAAGAGAGTTTCCTAAGTATTTATCCTTCTTGAACACCATTTATTAAGTTTTCATCAATCATCACATCTATTCAATGGAGTAAGAAATGTTTGCTTCCTTGCACATACTGCTAAAGAGGTGAATTCTTTGCCAGAGTCTGTATTTCCTGAAGGTATAACCTGGGTGTCTTCAAGGCCCGAGTGAATAGGTTGCTTATGGGACGACGTGCTCCATCGTAGACCGCATCATCGCTTACCACCAGGCGAGATAGTGGTCAAACGTAGCCCCATAAAATATTAAAAGAAATTGATAGGATAATAACAAATTCTCATACATATGATGCGGAATGCATGGGTATTCTTATTGTACTACAGTGTGAAGGTATTGCATGAATCATATTATATATTTTTATGACAATGCTTTTAAAATCAGGTACAACTATGAACTCTTACCATAAGTGGAGATATAAGCATACTGGCCACGAGTATAACGGTGGAGTTTTCAACCAGACCAATAGCAGCAACGAACGCGGCGACCAGTAGAAGAAACACCCAATCAAAGGTGAGGGCTGCGTCTGCGCGCACATCGTGCAACACTTGCGCGAGATTTGTGCGTGCACGCACCGATGAAGAAAACCGAGCCCAACCTGTATTTGAGACCCTGCAAATAACCAGACAAATTCATCAATTTTAAAAATGATTTGTACTTTATACATTCTTCATTTGTTTCTGAATGAATGGCAAGTCCCCTGGGTGGATAATAGTGATGACGGTGACGATTATATTCGTTTAGAAAAAACTACCTATAATGGTTCTATACACAGAACATATAAAAAATATTTATAATTATGTTCTGTGGTTCTATAGTCTATCCCTAATCTGTCTATCTAGAGTTTAAACTGTATATTAACTCATAGAAGTGCTCATCCTTAGTCTTGTTCAAACATTTATACGTATTTTTAATTATTTTTATTGAATTACGAAGTATAGCAAACGGTAATACGACGGAAATATATGTAGTGAGGAAAAGTAATAAAAAATAATAATTACAATAGAATAAATAATTTATTAACTACTGATAATAAAAACACAATAAAATGAATGATCAAACGAACAAATACAAATAAAAGCAATCATTTCATCGCTTCCACTGCTTCTACCGAAGGAAATAACTAGGGATTGTAATTAAACAATTGATCTTGACTGCCCGTAACAACGTCTTAACGAACAACTATTACTTTAGTGAACTATAAATAGACCTGGATTGGACGTAAATGTTTCAAATTAAGCTAAACGACACATAGACAACAGTACCTATTATCGTTTCATTACTACTTATTCCGAGCTTGGTACAGCAGGCCACCTGTCTATTATTCCTTTATCCTGCTATACCTTGTCATCCTATCTATATATCTATGTATCTCTATCAGGAACAACCTCAAATAAAATAATCTCACCCTGCAATATCAGGGAATGAATTAAATGCTTTGTAATTTATATCAAGAGGCCCATTCTTCCCCTTCTTTCACACAATTCACAATAATAAATATTTTTCAATTGCCACAGAAATAAACGTATTTTATTTTTGTTATTTCAATTGTGAGTAAACAATCATTTCGTCATTACCACGCCATGACTTCCCATCACTTAAATAGTAGGTAATTCACATTCACAAACATGGTAAACACGTCATTGCTGTCTTAAATAGATATGACTAAATCTTCGAAAAGAAGAAGTAAAACGACCAGTGTAGATCTAGATCTAGAATTTATAGAATCATATTTTTTTTAAACTCCTTCAATCCCTTCTTCTTTTGTCGATTAATTAAACTGTCAAACCCCAAGCGGTCACCGGTGACCGCAACGTATTGTTCTATAATTGTGTCTATAATGACGGTACTCGACGAGTTAATATACTAAATTCTTCTTTTAAGTGTACCAAACACTTTTCTGGAAACCGTATCAAAATCGGTACAGCCAATCGCGAGACAACCACGCACAAACTTTCATACATACAAACATACAGGGCAAATTGAGAACCTCCTTCTTTTTTTGGAGTGGTTAATAAATACAAAAATAGTCCTCTGACACTTACTCTTCATGTTGAATCACACCAATTTCAGACGCTGGTGGACTGACTTCATCATTGGATTTGTAGTATAGAGCACAAGGTACCAAACTAACTGACGATTGGTACCGTGACCCAATCCCGAAGGTCCTTAGGACTTGTAATAATTCTTCACTTAGACTTCCCGATTCTATGGAAAAGGTTACCTGCAAAAAAGATAAAGTACCTAAGACAAATGTTTTACAGCCCTAATTAGTTTATAACGAGATCACTTAATTTGTGAAGATATATTGGACTCTTGCCAGTTTATGTAATTGCAATTAAGTCATTTTAAAATACTGGATTTAAATCTAGTTCTTGATTGGTGAAAGTGTTTAAATAAAATCTAAAATAAGTAATAAAATTTTAAGTTTAAATAAAATTTAAAATAATAAAATCTAAAATCATTCGAATATCTAAAAGTTGGTGTTACATAGTACAGTGGCATTAAGTGCCGAATATAATGTGCACCTCTACCTACCCCTTCGGGGATAAAAGGCGGTGTTATGTTATATGTAGGATTCGAATATCGTTAAAGAAAGATCTGGCTGGCACTTGGGCAAAACGAGATTGGTAAATCTCGTTGACTACTGACTGGACTTGATCAAGAATTTTGCAAAATAGTCACTAAATAAACAAGGGTTTTTAGACAATCTGGAAAATTTGTTCCCTTATTCCCACTTCCAGGTCAATTTTACCGAAAAAGTAGCTCCTAACCTAAAAATATTCGACACAAAACATTTCTTTCCTCATGCAATTAAACATTATATAGATACTTTGAACCTTCCGTTTATGTTTAAATGGATATATTAAATTATGGTTTGTTCTATTGTGTACTCTATACCACTATGGGACTACACAAAGTGGGTTTGAAGCAGTTTGGACGTCTACCGCATTCGAAACGTGCAGTTATGACTGATGACTAAGATCCTTATCTGGGTAATAGGACCTACGCGATGTAAAGACTTATTAAACTGTTCCATATATATAGGTGTGCATGTATAAAACTATGTATTCGAATATTACGCAATACTATTTGCAATACTTTGTACTGACGCTACAAAATTGGGTACCAAATAGTCCCATTACTTTGTTGTTTTGTGCTGTGTTTCTGTTTTGTGTACCTAATAAATAAATAAATAAATAAAGCTGAAAATGCACTTATTGACGAAATTGGGGCGCTTCGGGTAGTACCTGTGTTTAGAAAATCTTTATGTAAGTATTAAAAGTGTTAACTAACTCTTTACTCAAGCTCTATGAACTAAAAAGTACACCTAATATTCCTGTAAGTACACAAAATATCTTTAGTATTTTAAACTATAGGTACCTAACTGTACTAACCTGCCAAAATTTATCATCCTTCGTAGAACTCCACGCTGCATTTTTGATGTCTAGTCGTTCTACTATTTCCGCTAGTATCTGAAACCAAAGGATTTCATAACTTATGGTTATTAAGAAAAGGGTTTAAATATTTGTGCATTAAATTATATCATAAATAAACAAGACACTATCAACTACATTTTAATGGGATTTTTTTTAAGGGGGAAAATCATCGAATGACTGCTCCCGCCTGGGTGAGGCGGGGGGAGTGCATTTTAATGGGATAAGGTCGAAAATCTAATAAGGAAGTTGAACACAGGATAGTTTGTTGTGCGTCTATTTCTTAGTGTGAGTTTACTGAGATAATAGCCAGTAAAAACTATAAATTCTAAGAGAAACTAGGCGTAGCGTTTGAAACTGAATCTTATTTTCGAAAAGATATATTTCCAGTACTTTGTT